CCCATGATGCCCCTGCCCCTCACAAACCTGTGCCCTGAGCTCTGTCCCGATGTACCTGTTATGTAACTGCTTGGCTGCTTGTACAAAGCAAGGCTGGTCTGTTTCTTTAAGGACCTCCTGGGCATAGCCCACCAGACCTGAGCCATCCAGAAGGCTCCGGTGCTCCTGGAGCTGGGCGCTGAGACGGGCCAGCCGCTCCTGCTGGCATTCCTCTATGGCCTGAAGCAGCGATGCTCTCTTCTCCTCCAGCACAGCCCCCAGCCCCCGAACCAGCTGGGATACCTCTTCCTTGGCCTGCTGACCACTCACCTGCCCAGAGAGCAACACTTACTGTCTTCTCGAAGGCAGGGCCCGCACCAGCCTCCTAGGGTACTACACCATGGCTAGGGCCACCCAGTCCTGAGAATCTGGGGGAATCCTACCCACCCACTCCAACGGGGCCAGGCTTATGGCTCCAAAGGCACCTGTACACCCAGATGGGCTCAACTCCTGACCACTCATGCCAACTTTCCTGGAGCCCACACCATAATCCCTAAGGGTTCCCCCAAAGAAAAGTGATCATAAGTGCCCTAACATCCACAGGGGTGTCCCTGGCACCCCCCCCCCGCGTCCATGCTGTCCTCACTGCCCACCCTGTGTCGGCTGACTCATGAGAGCTGGAAGATGGTATCAGAGCTGTCACCTTCCCTGAGCTCCGGGAATAAGTGCCATCCTCAGCAGGCAACTGAGCCTCAGGGCATCTGAGCTGTGTCCCTGGGGCTTTGCAAGTATCCCCTGTCCTGGCAATAGCCACCCTGGTGCTACTGTAGCTCCAGGTGCAGCCTGCCCTGGGGCACTGATGTCTCTGCCAACTTAGTTTAACCAGAACCGTGACATGTTCATGGACCCCACACTGGCTTCCTGAGCTTGCAACCAGGTGACTGGGCCATGCCTACCCATACCCCCTTGCTGCTTCCACCCCCAGGTGGGCCAAGGGCCACCTCAACACCCTCCCTCACCTCAGCGTGCCTCACAGTCTCCTCCAGCTCACAGATCTGGGTCTGTACTGTGTCCTGGTTTCCTAGGATGTATGTCAGGCTCTTTGTCAGTTTGTCCTGAGGGGGTAAAAAAGGTGGGCAATCACCCAGCTTGGCAGAAGCCAGCAGTTAAGAGGTGTAAGAAGGTGTGAGTGAGTTAGCACTGGGGCTCCGTGTGTATGTAAGGGGTGGTCCTCACCTTGAGGGCCTGGTAGGCGCTGAGTACCGGTGTGATCTTGTGCCCACTGTGGGTGCGCCTCACTCGGCAGAGTTGGCACACCAGCCGCTGGCATGTCTTGCAGTAGTGGGTCACCTCTTCCTTGTGGTCTGGGCACATGAGACCCTGGGAACAGAAACAGCAGTGGCATAGTCAGCCAATGGTGTGCATAAGGGTGCTGACCTGCCACAGGAGCAGTTTGGTGCCCTCCCTCCACTGACCAGATGGGGGTGGAAGGGAGCTCAGCTGGTGGTGCTCCACAGTGCCACCTGGTGGTACATACTGGCATCAAAGAGAGCCTTTCCAGTACCCTCCAGGCAGCAGCATTGCTCCTCCCTTCATCTACCTCAGAAAAGGTGTAGAGATAACAATAAGAATAATGACAGTTAATCTCAGCCTTGTGGTTAACAATTAACCTTGTCCATCTTGTTTTCTGTCATATCACAATGCCTAGAACAGCACTAGGCACGTAGGTGCTCCATTCGTATTTGTCATGTGATCTTCCAAACAGCCCTGTGGGTGTGGATATTGCAGGGCACACAGTAGCAGCCTCATTCTGCAGATGAGATGAGGGCTCAGAGATGTTCAAAGATTTGTCTAGGAACCAAACTGGTGACCTTTTGGCTCCCAGGTCAGCGCTCAATCCACTGAGCCACACCAGCCAGGGATAGTGTGTTTTTTTGTTGTTCTCACAGAAAAAGGAGCTTGGCAATGGTGAACTCCTGCCTACCTCCTTTTGGAGGCCCAGAGTGCCAGGCACCTGCACCCACCCAGCTCTACCATGCTGCTACCTTCTCAAGCCCTGCAAGTGCTGGCTCACCTTGGGGCGAAAGGAGAGGGTGGGCAGAGTGGGCTCATGCTGGGCCTTCTGGGTGCCCCAGGGGTGGAAGAGCTTGAAGCACTCATTGCAGAAGGTGGCACGGCACTCGGTGCAGCCCTTGGTGGCCTCTAGTGGTGGGGGCTTGCACAGCTGGCACAGGATGGCGCCACCCACGCTCACACTCTGGCGGTAGCGCTCCACCACACGCTCCAGGGTCAGGTTCCGGAACAGGCCTGCCAGGCCTCGCTCCCCCAGCTCCACATCACCCTGGCAGGCTGGGCAGGGAAACGTAATCACCTGGGGGTGCAAAGCTCCTCGCTTCCGCCCTGGGTATGTCCCAAAACCTGTGGATGGGCAGGAGAGGTAGAGAGCTGAAAATTACAGCTGGCTAGGGGTGGGGAAAGTCTGTTCAATTAAAAAAATAAATTTTCGCTCTGATATGGCTCAACTGAATTATTAGAGCCTAAATGAGCAGTATCTCCTCCCCCTGAAAGACAGACAGATACCCCTGGCCAGGGATGCACCCCTTTCATCTTCCTGATAAGCATCCCAGCATCCTCACCCCCATCCCACAGGCCCGAGGCGCACCTGATTTAAGCAGCCGGTCCAAGCGGTCTGGCTTGGGTAGAGTTCTGCGAGAGAGACGGGGACTTCGGGTGGAAGGGGTGGAGGCAGGAGAGGTAGGTTCAGAGCTGGGGTCCCCACCATGTCCTACATAGCCCTGCTGGCCTAGCACCTCACGGGCACAGGCCTGGCACACATTGTGGGTACAGGGCAGCACCAGTGGCTGCTTGTACATCTCTTGGCACACTGGACACAGCAGTTCTTTTTCCATGTTCTTCATGCTCGTCTGTAGAGGGACCAGGAGGTTGGGTCAGAGCTTGCACACCTGGGCATATCTTGACAGGCCTCTCGGCTGCCCTTAGAGACCCAAGGGGGTCTTGGAAAGAGACAAGGCAAACTACCTATGGCTTTTCCCCAGCACCAGATTAGGCCTGGTTCACAGACCTTCTCAGCTCTGTCTCTTGCCTCGTTTTCCCTCCTGCAGCGCTAAAGGCCTACAGAGGAGGAGGGATGGTTGGAGCTCATGGTTGGAGCTTGAGCTTTCCAGAGTCAAACCCCACCCCCTCCACTCCGTCTGCCCAGCAGGATCTGCAGCCCCTTTCACCTGGCCACTGCCCCCTCCCCCACCTCCGTTACTGCCTCGGCACTTCTTCTCAAGGACACAGTCAATTGGACACCTAGGTGCGGACCACCCCCCCCCCCCCCCCGCCGCCCCGTGTGACTCCTCGCTATGGGGAGGCGCAGCTCTTTCTCCATCCTCCTGCTCACTGTGGCAGTCTTCCTGCCGCGACTCCCGCCCGAGGCCGCCCCAGCCTACATCCACCATCCTTCACTTCCCCAGCCGTCTCCTCCAGTTTCCGGCTACACTAACCCATTTTCCTTCGCCCCCACCATCTGGACCTCCGCTCCCTCCCCAGGCATAACCCCGGGTAGCCGCATACCCCTCCGCAAGCAAGGGGTAAACAAACGCCTAGCCTACTCGCCCCCCTCCCCCCGGAAGTACTCCTCCCTTTCTTAGTGGCCAGGGTCCTCAAGCTATGCCCCACCCCCTCACCTCACCTTGGTCCCTCTCTTCGCAGCCATCCCGGTCAGGGGCGCAGCTGACAAAGGAGGGAGGGATAAGGAGGGAGGGGGAAGAAAGAGGGGGGAGAGCAGGGTTGGCACCGCCCCTGGGAGAGCCGGGCATGGGTTGCCATGACAACTGCTAGAGGCTCAGAGGCAGCCCAGGGTGGGGGTGCGGTGGGGTGGGGTCTGGTGGAGCTGTCCAAATTGAGAACTACACCCTGGGGCGAATCCTTCAGCACTTCCACCTGTCCTCAGTTTTCTTGGAAAATTTCCAAGTTCACAAACGCCCTCTCCTCACAGGACAGCCCCATTGCTCTGCAGCCCCAGCCCTGTTGGCCGCTACCCCAGCTAACCCGCTGCGTCCGGGCAGCTCCTAGCTTCTCACACCCCAGCAGATGGACGCCTTCACGGCACTTGTCTCCGGGCTGCCCCCCGGATTACCCTCTCATACCTACATCCCGACCCTCCCGGTCCTTTCCGCCATCACCAGCCCCCTGTCTGCATCCCAGCATCTTGCCAGATTTCCACCTGTTCGAGGACCCGGCCTGCCCCGGACCGCTGTACTCCACCTCCCCTTCCCCTCGACCCCACCTTAACTCACACTGATGCGAACCAGTGCATCCATGATGGAAGTGAAGGTCTGCATATCCTCACCCTCAGCCATGGCCCTACCTTGCCCGCCCGCCCCCGGGTGCCCGATCCAGGCAGCAGCTGAGAACCCTGGGCTTAATGCAGGAGCCGGGTGGGGGTGTGGGGAGGGATGGGGGTAAAATAGCACTGCGCATGCTCCAGGGACGAGCCTCAACCAGCGCCAGTCAGGGCAGGAGGTGGGAAATCTTTTTCCCCACGTGGTTCTCAGAAGGCGTTGGTGGCGGGGAGCAGTGTAACATGGAATGGTGTTTGAGGGGAGAACCACATCTTATGTTCGCGTTCCTAATCTTACTCATATAGAGCGGAAGGAGAGTTTTAGAGAAAGATGGACCCCAGGATGGTAGGACTAGATTTTGGTTTGGCGGAGAGTCCATGGGACATGTCAGGCAATGTTCCGTAGTGGGAAGGAGGTTTGAGGAACAGGCATTAGAGGTGACATAAATGACAAAGAAGACAGAGGTGAGTGAGCAGCTATGGGCCGTAGTCCCGGTGACTTGAAGGGTTAAGTGCAGCCAGCTTGCACTAAGAGGCAGAAGTTGCTCAGGGGGCGGGTAAGGACCCGGACCAGGGCGGTGGCTCAGGTCCTCTGGCAATGCTTCCTCCCCGCCGGGAGAGGGCGCCACGCGCGGAGCCCAGAGGCAGAAAGGGGAGGCCCTGGGGAAGCAAGTTTGCGCTGGGTGCTGACGCGTCCGGCTCGTCTCCGGTCTTTCTGGGCGGGAGGCGTCTATCGGACCTACGGGCAGGGCGTGATGGGTAACGGGCCGGCGGGACACCCCGGACGGGCTCGTGGGGGTCGGGGTTTGGGGCAGACCAGCTTTCCTGGTCCCCTTCTCTCAGAGCCGAAGTGTCCTGGGTCCCAGGGGGCGGGCCAGTTTGCCTGGACTGGGACGGAGGGTGCCGGGAGTCCTGGGCTGAGGAATTCCTGGGGGTCGCCGTGTAGTGTGGGGGATTTGGGGAGTATGGCTGCAGGCCCGGGAGTGCTTGGATGGTCCGGCCCTCGAACTCCGGGACCTGCCGAATCTGCCTGCGGCTCCTGGAGAGAGGACCGGGCCTGACTGCCGGTCTCCGCTTTCATCCTCTCCAGCAGTGGGCACGGGCACCTCGCTGGCGTTGTCCTCCCTCTTGTCCCTGCTGCTCTTCGCCGGGATGCAGATGTACAGCCGCCAGCTGGCCTCCACCGAGTGGCTCACCATCCAGGGGGGCCTGCTTGGCTCCGGCCTCTTCGTCTTCTCTCTCACTGTATCCTCCTGCGGGGGAGAGGGGTGGGGAGGGGGGAGGGCCCGGCGGGCTGGTGCCGACCCCGGTGCCCACACAGTTCTGCCCTACTCCTTAATTCCCTCAACCCAGGCCTTCAATAATCTGGAGAATCTTGTCTTCGGCAAAGGATTCCAAGCAAAGATCTTCCCTGAGAGTAAGTGAAAATTGGGGTTTGAGAAATTGAACGCTCTCTTCTATTCTCCCCCAACACAGTACTGAATTTCCAGGTGCTTAGAAAGTAAAGGTAGTTTAGGAGAAGGGAATATGTTTGTAAGACTGGAGACGGGTGACACTTTGGATCTAGGACTTCAGCTGGCGCCTGGAATTGGAGCTGGACGAGAAGGCCTCTGAAAGCCAGAAACTCAGTTGCCTTCTGGACAGTTCCCAGGGAAAATTTGAGGGAGCAGACAAATTTGGACCTGTTTTGGATACATCCATAGAGAGGTGTTCTTTATTCCCGCCAGAAGCAGCAGGCAGGAAGGATCAAGTTTGTTGAGGGATTCTGATGTGAAATTGATCGAATATTAGTGAATTCTATCAGAGATGATTGTGAAGAGCCTAATACACCAAGTTTCTAGGTCAGCAGGAATCCTGACCACATTAGAATAACTTAGATTGTTTCCTGTTTGGAATGATCCTTGTTATTGCACAAGTAACTGAGGTTTGATGACTTAGATATTTATGGAGAATTAAGTTTATAAAGCAGTCATACCAGGGATGCCACATGCTCAAAAATTGATGGCAGAGACCCTTCCTGGTGCCTCGGGTGCAGACAGCAGGGGGGCCGGGACCCGCCCCGCCAGTCCCCTTTTCGCTGGTAAGGCTGCTGTCAGCTCCGTCAGTGTTCTGCGTTGCACCTCGGTGGCCCTGGCTGCTGCATATGCTGGGCCTTAGCTTTCCTCTGGTTCTGCCCTGATCGCCCCAGGAAGCTGCTGGTCGTAATCCCCGTCGGTCCTGGTGCTGGCATTGTCCACAAATGTGGCCTCACACACCTTTCTGTTGGTGATGAAAGGAAAAACCCACATTCACAGTTTGGTGAACTCATTGAAAAGTACATTAAAGATGGAACGATTGTGCCAGTTGAGGTAACCCTCAGTTTTTTATAGAGGGAAATGGGTCCAATCCAGAATTTACCCTTCTGAACATCAGACAATGGCTGCGGATGCTCAGAAAGATCAATTCTTGATGGATGGGTTTTCAAGAAATCAAGACAACCTTCAAGGTTACAATAATATCTTATAAATGATTTTTAAAAATTGACAACAGATGCCATCTCATGTGAAGCCTGCCTGTGGTGGGACCGAGTGTCACTGTTGGCGGACCCGCTGTGGGTCTTGCTCTCTCCACCCAGCCCTGTGCAGGCTTCCACAGCTCCATCCACCAAGCAGCCCTGGCTGCGTTTCCCTGTGAACTGTTGTCGCTTACTTGTGGAAGAACTCTTCACTGTGGGACAGGGTTCCTGACCTTTGCCTGCCCTGCTCTTCCCCAGCCAGCCGGTAGGGTTTGCCCTGCCCCCCGCCTTCTCTCCAGTCCTGATCTAGACAGACAGACTACGGTACTTTTCTGTGCCCGTGGGCACATATATACAGGCAATTTGCCCTCCAACCTGTGTCTAGGGAGTGAGGCCCTCAGCTTCCATCACTGGCCAGTTGGATGAATTGATCCCCGTTGGCTGGCTTCTGTTGGAAAGGCCTTGACTCTCTTCCCCAAATGGGAGCAAGCCTTGCCCTTCAGACTCTGCCATCACTTCTCCTTTTCTCTGGAAGAAATCCAGGACAGGGAAGTTCCATGGTATCTGAGGCAGAGCTGGTGATAAGCACGCAGCCTCCATGTGCTGGGCATAGAAAGGCCATCTGAGGCTCTGCTGTTACCATGCTGTATCCCTCTGGGCACATTCCCCAAGATTCAGAAAGCCCAAGATTTCTCCTGGACTTGACCTGGCATTTCCATTCTGACTTCCACCTTGCTTGTCGCCTCTTGCCTCCCCAGTTCTCCTTTGCCTCCTATTGGCTCTTTTTGCATCTGGCCTCATCCATCGAGTCTGCGTCACCACCTGGTAAGTGCCTGACAGCAGGGTAACCGATATCCTGTCCTTTGTCCCTCGGTCCTCCTGTGATGGTCCCATCCTTCCCTGGACCTCCCTCCCCGTCTCTTGTCCCTCTTTTGCCCTTCCCCATTTTCCTAAGTCTGAGCCCGGACTCCTTCCCTGATACTGGTGTCTGCCCCGGGAAACACCAGACTGGCAGCGTGCCTGCTGATGCCATGACCTTTCTGTGTCTGCCCTGCAGCTTCATCTTCTCCATGGTCGGCCTGTACTATATCAACAAGATCTCCTCTGCGCTGTATCAGGCGACAGCTCCAGTCCTCACACCAGCCAAGGTCGCTGGCAAGGGCAAAAAGAGAAACTGATCTTGAATATCCAATAAAGTTGATTCTTTGTAGCTCTTTGAGCTGTTATAAGCTGTGACCCTCTCCTGCCAATGCCGGGATGGTGTCCAGAACGTTAGGGCACATGGGTACCTCCTGTTTTTAGATCTTGGGGGTAGTGGGGCTTTCCTTCCATGAAGGTTCATTTTTAGCAAATATTTTATGAAGTGCCATCAGTGGCCAGGTACTTTGCTAGGCACTGGAATGACAGAGGCTTGTGTCTCAAAATGGAAGAAAAGTACACCAGCAATCAGCAGACTTGACCTTGGGTAAAGGGGTAAAGTCTGTAGGCCAGGAAAGCTCTTCAGAACTGGAATAGCTTTTGGAACAGAAGAGTAACAGGAAAGGAAGGCTCCTCACCCCTGCACCTCCTCACGGGTCCATTTACTTCGGTGTGGGCTTGGTTACTCCCGGTCGCCCACTCAGCAAACCAGCAGACCTCTCCTAGTCTGGGGCGGGGTGCCCTATGATGTCGCCTCCCTCTTCTGCCCCAGCATGAACAGACGCCTGTGTTTAGCAAGACTCCCGAGGTTAATCATTGCTCCATCTCCTTTGTTCAGGTGCCTTCATTTTTTTTTTGTCTAGTAGCCAAGAGATTAGGAATTACTAAGTTTTAGCAAAGTATATAAAATGACAGGGAGAAGGCCTGAGAGATGTGGCTTTCCAGGTTCTGCTCTGTCTGTGATCTGCCACAAGGAACCTCTGTCCAGAGCACCCTGCCTCCTGCTTGGTGGGTGGGCGCCGTGCCTCTGTCGCTGTTGTGTTCTCTGCAGTGCCTTGCAATGTGCATTAAAGACCAGTGTTTTGGTTCAAAGAACCTGCCCTTCTAGAACAGAGAATCCTGTACATGGAATGTGCCGAAGTGAGGAAGGAAGACCTAATGAAAATGGAGTCAAAGGAGATCTGGTCAAGAATTAGAGGCCCACCCCAACTCATCTCTACTATAATCCCAAACCTTTCCTCCTGTGCCCAGGCTGAGGGAGTGTGATGCAGTTTGCCCAGGAGGCCTGCAGAGGGCCTTATGAGCTTACGTCTCCAGGAGACTAGCAACAAGATCCATTTCAAACGCACCCTCAGGACTGGGGAGGATTGCAGCCAAATCTCCAGCGGACGCCAGCCTTCTGGAGGACCCAAAGGACTAGCTGACCTGGGAGGGCTGTAACCTGGGGCAAGTCTCCTTGCTCACCTAGGCTGGGAGCAGAGGCAAAGAAGAGTTCAGTGAAGACCCGAGCTTTCCTGAGAGGGCGTAGCCACTCTAGGCTCCAACTTAACTAGTGATGCTTGGGGGGTTGCAGTATGTCAGACTCTCTGAGGGAGGAGGAGAGGTTGTCCAAAATGGGCCCTGGACCTACAAGGAGGATGGGCTGGGTGTGGGTCTGCTGACTTTATCCCGACCTGGGGTGGGAACAGAGCAGAGGGCCACGTCCCAGCCCAGGTGAGAGTAGACACAGCTGCGGGTATCTGGCCACCTGAGGGCAGCTGACCTCCAAAGATGAGAGCTTGGGTGAGGCCAAACTAAGGGAGGGTGGGGAGGAGCTGGAGAGCAGGTGCCAGGGTACCCACTGTGTAGGCACCAGGGACAGCAGGTGGCCCAGAAATAATGACCCCTTCCTCAGGGAATGTATTTACAAGGCAGGTTGGTGCCGACCTAGGCCCTCCACCCAGCCTATCTGTAGGGTGCCTAGTTGCAGGGTGCCTGTGTCTGACCTACCAATTAACCCTGGGAGAGGTATCCCAGCTACCTGATCACCATCATTAAGTAAGTGGGTGGGAGGTATCTTGGCTTCAGGAGACCTGAAGGTGAGAAGGGCAAGCTACTGACCTCTTGGCCCCTGGACTCTTGGGGCTCCGCTCCACCCTCAGACCGGAGGCCTGGGTCCCAGCCCTGGAGGACAGAAGGAAGCCAGATGTTTCCTCCTGCCTCCCGCTCTCTCTCTCTCTCTCTCTCTCTCTCTCTCTCTCTCTCTCTCTCGGCCCTGCACCCATGCCTCCCATGCCCACTCAGGAAACAAAAGTAAACACTGTGGAGGAGGAGATGGGAGTGGGGGAGGCTGGCCCAGCAGGGCAGTCCTTGGGCCGGGAAGTAACACTGCCACCAGGAGTGCAGTGTGAACGTGACACAGGGTGGGAAGGCTCCCCAGCCCGCAGGGGCCGGGCTCCCCTTGCACTAGAACTGGAGTGAGGGGTGCCTGGCATGCAGGGCACGGCAGGGGGTCCGGGCTGGTGGAAGAGCTCAGGGCAGGCGGGGAGGCGAGTCTGCGCCAGGCCAGCCCTTTCCGGCCCTTATTGTCGTTGGTGAGAACAGGACACAGTCTCATTCCCACTGCCTCCCCTCGCCAGCTCTGCTCCCCAGGGCATCGGGAAGGATGTTGGGAAATGGGAACAAGGCAGAGACCATTAGAGACAGAGATGCTGAGAGACACGGAGACAAATACAAAGGGGAAAGTTTCAGTCAAAAGCCAGCATTGAAGTTCCCCGTGAGCCCAGCAGGCCCTTGGCACCGTGGGAACCACATCAGAATGGGAAGCTGGAGGCCCTGCCCTCGGGGACTGCCGCTGGCCTGCCCCGTACACTCCTTGATTTAGGATCAACCACAGAGCCGCCTCCTGAGCAAACAATGACCCAAACACTGCACGGGCACAGTTGGTGGCACTTAATTGCTCTGCTTTAGATACATTTCTTTGCCTCCAACCCAGCAGATGGGAAGTTCCTCAGGGGGCCGGGCCCAGACCACAGTCCCACCTGACAGCAGACACCATCCAGAGCAAACTGGCCAAACAGAGGTTGACACCTGGTGCTGCGTGGTTGAGTTCTGTGGCGACAGGGAGAGGCCCCTGGAGTTAGGCATGTCGTCCCCTGCTGCAGGCCTGCCGTGGTGCAGTGCAGAGCTCTCCCTGTGCAGCGCAGTCGGCTGTTCCCACCCCAGACTCTGTGACCTGGGACCCTTCCTTCCAACTCTGTTCTACCTGGGCCCTGGAGACCGGCCCTCGGAAAGACCCAGAGAGGTTTGGCTCCCTTCAACTATGGGAGGGTCTGGGCGTGCTTTAAAATGAAGAAAAAAATGAGGCATATTCAAAATGTTTAGATTCAACAAAATAATGCTTTTTAACACAAATCATAAAGTAATGATATTGCTAGTGACAAGATCATCACAGGATTTCTAGAAATTTTCCTTCACAGGAAACTACAGGGCCCTGATTTATAATGTAAAGTCCTATGATAATGGGCGTATCACATCCACTGTATGATTCTTTCTACTTTTGTATGTCTTTGAAAATTCCACAGTAAAAGTTAAATCTCTTGTGCGGTAAGTCCCTTCTGATGTCCATCAGAGACTAAGCGTGGTGGCCTGTAACCGTACTTGGAGATGGTGTCAGAAGTCTGAAGTTGAGGTCCTGCGTGACAACAGGGCCTGACCTGAAGTAGCCCTCAAGGCCAGTGAGGGACCCTTTTCTGAGAAACCCCCCATCCCAATCAGCTGGAAGAGCAGGGAAAGGTCCCCTGCCGATTTGAGGCTGAGGGCTGCATTGTCAAGAGGTACTGATGATCCTGTCAGCACTGGCCTGGATCCCACAAGAAAACACCTTGCACTCACCCTCTTTCTGGGTCAAGAGTTGCCATGAGGGCGGCCCTCTGGCCACTTCTGGGAATTTCTGGGACTGAGGTGTGTGCATACGCCTGTGGTAGGTGCTAGGAGTAACCTGTTAGGGAGACCGCTCCCCTTCCTGCTCTCAGCCCCCACACCCCATTTTCAGCCTCTGTGACCAGGGCCCTCTTCTGACTCAGATAAATTTCAGGTTCTAGGCAGCACGTGGAACAGTGGGAAGAACCTAGGTCTCCTTTGGGCTCTGAACCTTACAGGTGAGTGTCCTTGGGCAAGTGGAATGACCTCCTCGATTATACTCCTCGATTATAAAATGGGAATAATAATACCCATGTCAGATCATGGTAGGGAAGATTCGAGGTAAATCATGATGTGGAAGAGCCTGCCTAGCATAGTGCTTGGCCCACGGGGCACTGAACAAAGGCTATTTCCCCACGCGATGACAACAACCCTTTATTTAACTCAGTGTTTGCCACCGCCAGTCAATGTACTTAGTGATTTACAGATATCCTTATTTTCAGCCCTCACACTGCCCTTACTGCTGTTCTTACTCCGTGGGATGGCTAATTTTATGTCTCAGCTTGGCTGGGCCATGGTGCCCAGGTGTTTGGTCAAACATTATTCTGGGTGTTCCTGTGGGGCTGTCTTTGAGTGGGATTTGGTGGAAAGCAAGTTGCTCTCCACAATGTGGCTGAGCATCACTGGGTCCGAATCTGCTGCAGGCCCACACTGAACAAACGGCTGAGCTCCCAGAACAAAAGGGATTCGGCAGGAGGCCTTTGGACTTGAACTGCAACTCTCGTCCCTCATTCACTGAGGTTTTCTCACAAATGTCTCCGCAGCAGGGCCTTTCCGACTGTGCCGTGCGACACAGCACACTGTCGCCCTCCAGCCCTTTACCTGGCTCTGTTTTTCTTCATAATACTTCTCATTACTTTATTTTTTTTTAATTTTAAAGATTTTATTTATTTTCAGAGAGAGGGGCAGGAAGAGAGAAAGAAAGGGACAGAAACATCAATATGGGAGAGAAACATAGATTGGTTGCCCATCACAGGCCTGCAACCCAGGCATGTGCCCCAGCCAGAAATCTAACTGGCGACCCTTGATTCATAGGCCAGCAATCCACTGAGCCGCGCTAGCCAGGGCATCTATGCCATTCCTATCCTCCTCCTGTCCATTGTGTTCCTACCAATTATGCTTCTTAATCACTGCACCATTTCCCCCATCCCCTCCCCACTGGTAACCCTCCATGTGATCTCCACTTCTGTAATTTTGTTCCTGTTCTGTTTGTTTGCTTTCTTTGTTTGTTTTTTAGATTCAGTTGTTGATAGCTGTGAATTTGTTGCCTTTTTAATGTTCATGGTTTTGATCTTCTTTTTCTTAAATACTGTATTTTTCTGTGTATAATGT